CTGGCCTCAAATTCACCACCACCTCAGCCTCCCCAGTGCTGGGACTATGGCATGTGCCATCCCACCTGGCAAGTTCATTATTTTTAATCTTCCCTGCTCAATAATAACTGTACTGGATGCTACTAATTTTCCTCTAACTACAGCTTTACCTATACATCAAAGAATGTTAAGTTTTGTCACAAACAGTAGAATAATATATACTTTAGATTCTGAATTTCTAAAAATACTTTAAAATTGACTTATTCCATTCTGATTATTTTTTCACTCTTCGCTATTTTCCTTACGTTTTTGAGCAAAGCCATTACTTAGAATATTTTGTTTAATTTTATTTGGAATGTATCTCATGAGACACTTTTTTTTGGTATTGGGGATTGAACTCACAACCTCACGCTTGCCAGGCAGGTGCATATGCTACTGAGCTAAATCCCCTTCATGAGCCATTTTTTTTGGGAACACATTAGATTTAAACCATAACATCCCCCCAACTCCTATTTTAGTCATTTTTCTGTTGCTGAGACACAATACCCAATATCTACAACTTAAAGGAAGAGAGGTTTATTTTGGTTTATGTTTCGGTCCATGATCAGTTGGCTCCAAAAAAGAAAAGGCTTGGCAGTGGAGCCTGGTAGAGGAGAAAGCTTGCCTCATGGCGGCCAAGAAGTAGAGTGAAAACAGGGATGCAACACAGTCAGCTGTGTGGCGTACCAAGTCAGCCGTGCCACCCGCATAATCCAGTCACCTTCCACAAGCTGTGTCACTGAGTGCTTGTGGGTTCAAGGAGACATCCAGATATAAACTATAACCTTCCTCCCGTTCCCTGCTAAAACTCATGCAAATCTCTTTGTGTCACATGTATTTACTCCATCTAAGAGTTGCCAAAGTCTTAACAGTTCCAGCACTGCTGAAAAGTCCAAGTCCAAAGTCTCCTCTGAGACTCAAAGCAAACCCTTAGCCGTGAGCCTCTGAAAACAGAAGAAAGGAATCAGGTGTGGGTGTGCACACCTATAATGCCAGCCCTTGAGAGAATGAGCTAGGAAGATTGTCCTGAGTTTGAGGCCAACCTGGGCTACACAGCAAAACTGTGCCCCTCAATCAAAAGAAACATCAATCGTGCCAATATCTGATGGCCTAGGATAAACATATTTACTCCAAAAGGGAGGATGAGGGAGACAGGAATGGGAGCAAAGCAAGAGTGAAAAGCCAGCAGGGAAAATGCTAAATCCCACAGCTCCACGTCTAACACCAGAGTAAGGTGTCTGAAGGGGTCTCAGAAGGCTTGGGGGTACCCACCCCTGTGGCACTGGTGGTTGCAGCTTGAATGGCCTCTCTGGGCTGGCTCTACTTGCTGCCTGTTTTCCTTGGTAGACATCCCACATTCCTGGCATCTCCAACTTCCTGGGCTCTCCAGTGTGCCTCTGACTTCGCACAGAATCACGTACTGCCTCCTTTCTCGGCTCCTCAGGCCTTCCTTTAATATGTGGATCAAATTCTTCCTGATCCCACAGTGACCATACCAGATTGAGCGACAGTCAGGCCCCCTTGGACCATGGCTACAGTGGCCACTGAGTGCTGGGGAAGCTGATACAGTGAAATGAATTCTAGGGAATCAGTTCCCTAGGAGGCCTTCTTGAGCACATTCCCGGAGATGCTCTTCTCAAAAGGTTTATGGTTTTCCATCTTTGAGCCTGTGATGAGTAAGGCCTGGCCAGTTCCTGAGATGCCTTCAAACCATTTTCCTATTGCTGTGATACAAAGTACTGGGCTTTTAAAAAAAATGCTAATCCTTCCAGTAATCATCTCCTTTGCCCCAACTTTGCAGGTACTTACTTATGTTGAAACTTCAAACTAAAAATCATTCATTGATGTGTTCTTTCTCCTCATTCTCACTGTAGTTCTGGCCATAGCCTGAATGTTAGGTTGCCTTATTAAAGTTCCTTCCATTAAATGAATTAGCCCATCATCATTAATCTCAGTCTCCTGAAAAATCTCAGAACCTAGACAAACATTTTTCTAAAGCATAACATGCGTAGGCTCTAGGCTAGTTTCCAATAGGGTCCTCATTTCCAACTGAAATTACCTGAGCCTGGCCTTTACTGTCTAAACTCCTATCCATACTTTTGTCTTCTAAGCTCCAACCAGAATCACTCATCAAGCTCAGTTTACAGCATTCCAGGACTTCTCTAGCCTGCATCTCCAAACCTTTCCAAACTCCCCCAAAACGTTTTCTAAGGGTTTGGAACCACATGGTCAGGTACAGTCATAGCAATCAGCCTACTTCTCTGGTACTAGTATTATTTACTCTCCTGCAGCTGGAACAAAATACCTGGAACCTGCAGTTTAAAGGAGAAGTTTATGTTGGCTTATATTTTAGTGAGTTTAGTGCACAGTTGGAAAGCTCCAAGGCAGAGATAGCATGGTGAGAGAGCCTAGTAGAGAAATGCCACACACAGGTTAGGGGGTATAGCTTGGTGCCTGGCAAGTGTGCAAATGTGCAAGTGTGAGTTCATGAGTTTGATCCCCAGTGCAAAAAAAAAAAAAAAAAAAAAAAAGAAGGAAATGCTGCATATGGCATGGAAGCCAGGAAGCAGAGACCACAGGAAGGAGCTGGGAATAAGAATATACCCTGCGGCCATTTACAGACTATTGGGGAAGAGAACCAGAATTCACCAAGAAGCAAGCCCTTTTGGTGAACCAGCATACCATGCACAAGCCACTGCCGGTGGGGAGAAGCCAGACCCCAGCCCCTTTTGGCATGCCAGCTGGGAAACAAGAAGAGCCAATCCCCACCCCACCCCACCTTTGTAAGTGACCAGCTGAGCTGGAGAACACAGGCTACAATGATAGCTACTCAGGTGGAAAGCAATTTGACGCTTGTGGTGTTTGGTGTTTCACTGATTTTGCAGGTTTAGGGCCAGTGGTCTGATGAGCTATTCAGAAGATAACGGTATGCAGTGTGGCATCTGTGGGGGAATCTCCTTCTGGGGGTGGTAGCCACTGTTAATTTCCTATTATCTGGTCTTGAAGTCCAGTATCATTTGCATTGGTTTGATGGGTTGAGTTTTATTCTCTTTTGTTTTAATTTTGTTATAGCCAATGGCATGGGCAGCTATTCCAAAGATAACAAGATATATTATGGTAGCTGTTTTGGATTCACTATTATCTTGTTTTGAAGTCCTTTATCACATTCATTATTTTGTTTTTACTGGTTCTATTCTGTTCTGTTTGTTTGATTTTTACTATGTCTGAAGGTATGGGCAGCTATTTTGAATGCAGTGAGAGGCATTATGGTAGCCACTGTTGATTTCATATTATTTTGTGTCACACTGGTTTGTTTTGATTGTTCTTATTCTTCTTTTTTTTTTTTTGCTTGGTTTTATTCTCTTTAAAAAACAAACAAACAAAACACCCTGCTAGGTCATACCTCGGTGACCTGCCTCCTCTGCACGTGAGACTTCTTGGGGCCTTTTCAGTCTAAACTATAGCAGCAGGAAAGTGGAAGATTTTTTTTTTTTTTTTTTTTTTAAAGCAGGACTCACAGTAAACAGGCCAGGAGAGGATCCTTCACCAGACTCTAACTTCCCTACGTACTTTTTATTCCTACTTCAACTATGAGGGCCACCACAGCCTTGGAGAGTGTTGTTGTTTCATATTCATGTACAGCTTTGCAGACTATCCACAGCCTCGCCTCTGTGTGTCTGCTTGCCTTAGGCAGGCGGGAGCCTGTGCCAGGCCAGGAGAAGGGTGTCTCAGGCGTCCACTGCAGCAGTCTCTCACCACTTGCACTATGGCTCCACCTGCAGCGTTTCCACGTTTTGCCTATGATGTACTAGTCACTGTCCTATTGCTGAGGGAAACTTGCAGATTTTCCTTTAACTCTGAAGTGGCAGGGTATCGTGATGAGCCAAGGTCCCCAATGACTTTTACACGTGCTTAGAACTGCATTACTTAAGTGACCAGGGTATTAATCAGACTGCTTTATAGTCCAGCCTCAACACTTCTTTCAGGTCTCCTGGGTGGTTTGGAGATAGCCAGTAGAGGCCATTTCCTGGGGACCCATGCTGTCCTCAGAGAAGGGCAGACAATCTGGAACCTATGAGGTGGACACAGACTCAGCCTGCCTGCCTGTGGCCGAAGGAGGTCCCCTGCAGGGAGACAGGGCTGCCCTGGATGGAGGCAGAGGGCTTCCTGTTGCTTGGAAACTAAGTGGGATGCAGCCTAAAAGGTCAATGTGCAGCAAAACATGGCTGACCATGTGCATGGAGCTTCTGTGGAGATCGATGAGAGGACAGCGTGATGATCAGGAGTTGCGACCTGTTGGTCGGAAGCCTCTGAGGACATCCTAGTGCTAGTATAAAAATAGATCACGGAGTACTGCTAAATCTGAAACAATTTATGTGAACATTAACTTAAATCATATTCATCATTTCAGTGCCTGTTGTAAAGACTTCGTTTTGTTCTTGGACCCACAGTGCAGGGCACAAATGATGCTATCACAGAGCAGAAACGATTCTGTCACAGCCTCACAACAGCTGCCACTCCCAGTGCCACCAAACTAAGGCAGGGGAGGTCTGGGCCCAGGACCGGCTGGCTCTTCCCACTCTGCCACACCTCAAGTTCAGGCACAGGAAATTTCTGAGTAAGACTCCAAGAAGTGAAAGTAAAAGACAAGTGATGAAAAGCAAGCGTCCATCTGGGGTACCCTATGGCCTGGACACACACAGTCCCCTCCACACTTAGGCCACACAGGCTGCATTCGAGTACCTGCGCTACAGGCAGTTCCGGATGGGACCCTCAAAGCTTCAAAATGGCCAAACAAAAGTTGTTTTGAACTTACTGTACCATCCCTTTAGGAACAGACTGGAGACCACTGAGCTGAACAGGAGTTCGGTGAGCCTCTCAACCCTTCTAAAAACCCCCCAAATGAAGCAAGTCTCAAAGTCTTAGGGACCCCGAATGATCCCTTCCACCTAGAGACTGGAGAATTTGTGATCTTTACCCACCTTCTCTTCAAAGAATTTCCTGCGTAGCTTCGCGTCAGCGGGAGGAATGATCTTCCTCAGAGCTTGGTACCACTTTCTGACAATGTAACCTCTCCAGCAGGCTTGGATTCTGAAACAGACAGTTGACGGTAACTCCTCATGATGGCTTAGTTTTAAGATATTTCAGGGCTCCTGGACTCCTGTGCTGCCAGGTTCCAGAGGGACACGCCCCTCTCCCCATCACCTTCCTCTCTGTGTAGCCCCGCGGGGCCAGTCGTGTCACCCACCGTGCTGCGCACTTGGCCCTGAACAGGCGGGCTCCATCGTGGATCACGCGGGTTTGGTACTGGTTTCTTCTGCACAGAGGACAGGTTTTCTTATTTGTGAACTTTTCAAAGGCCTGAAGGCATGCCTGAAGAAACAGATTTTGCTTAGAATTTTATGAGTAATTATTTATAAATAACATTTTTACTTCGAATGTAATTACAGTGTTCTTTTCTCTCATAATTATGAGACTCAGTCCAATTTAGATTGTGAAGGGAAGGAGTTTCATCAGATGTTAACACCTTCCTCATGAAACCTGTTCCCAAAGCGATCTTTTACAAGAATGGACATGCAGGGACATCAAAACTTTGGGGCTGTCTGGTGTGGCGGGAGGGCACGTGAGCGCTGCCTCCAGATGCAGCAGGATGAGCAGTGAGGGCTTTGATGTGAGGTACTGACAACAGTCCACTAGACAAACAGCTGGGCCGCCTTTGTTCTGGCAAATTCACGATTTTCAAAACAGGATCAGCACTCCTGTGGCCCCCAGTCATATCCTAACTACACGTGGAGATTAGGGACACACTGAATGGCCCTTCCGGGGACCTGAAGGTGAGCGGGCCCGGCCCTGCGGGGGCAGAGTGGACAGTGTGGGCAGTGTGGGCAGCGGCTACTCACCCGGTGGAACACATGGGAGCAGGACAGCAGCACCTGCAGGAGACAGAGGGTCTGGTCAGGGGTGTCTGCCAGCAACTCGCCACGTGCTGGGGAAGAATCTGCACTGCTGCTTTGAAGCACGAAAGCAGCAGACGGACAGACGGACGGATGGCTCTGATGTTTATCCATGTTTGGTTCAGTTTAGTTCAGCATAAGCGTGTCATGCAGCAGTGAAGTAACACCACTGCCCACAGCCCAAATAACACAGCACACCTGAGATGAGCTGTTAAAACGAGTGGGACAGCATAGGTGCATTTCCAGACAGACCGAGCGGTGGGGAAGGGCAAGGCCACCCCACAGAGGCTGACCAGGGCAAGAGAAACGCTGAGTAAGTACCGTTCTTGGGGCTTTGTTCAGTCAGATGCCTCAAACCCCACACACACCTTCTGGTGGTACTGAGGACTGAACTCGGGGATGCTGTACTACCGTGCTGTATCCCCAACCCTCTCCATTTGTTAAGTTTTAAGACAGGGTGGTGCTAAGTTGCCCAGGCTGGCCTTGAACTTGTGATCCTCCTGCCTCAGCCTCTAGAGTAGCTGGGTAATAGGTATACACCACCATGCTCAGCCAACTACTGTTTTTCCAGACGTAAAGAAAAACAGAAAAGGGTTAGTATCTATAAGCAAACAGCAATATTAGAATTTAATGAGAAACACAAAAGGCAATGGAAGAAGGATTGTGCAGACTGTGCCCTGACACCCTGTAAGATATTTAAGCTTTCATTCTTCACACAAGAAATGTTTGCAGAATAATTGAGAGGTTGCTGAGGCCAAGAAGATTCCCTGTGGCTTTGTTAACTCTCATTACATTAAGGCACTGAATTATAAACTGTCTTAGGTGTGCATTCTGCGGTTCAAGGCCCATGATTTTTCCAAAGCACCTAACCATCCCATAGGTAGGATTAGTTTCTATAGAGAACTGGAAGATAAAAGCACGGTCCAGATCTTCATCTGTGAGTTCACAGTAGCAATGGACAAGTCTAATGATGTGAACCTAGGTGCCGATGACAAAACTTCCTGAGACAAACTTGGGAGTTTCAGCCCAGGTGTCAGTGAAGCCTTGGGTCCCTCGGCTGGGATTCCAAGCCTGGCCTCTCAATGCACAGTGCAGGGAGTGTCATGCTACATGTTGCAGAAAACTGGCAGGGGGCAGCTGTCAGCCCCGACAACTCGAGGACAGTGTCCTTCTTCCCCAGGGTGACAGCTTAGTCAGGTGAAGGCTGCACAGACACAGTCTATAAAACCAGTACCGTCAGCCTTTACCACGGCTTCGTGACTGCAGTTCACGCATTAATAAGCCCGGCTGCATGCACTCTTCATGTGGGAGGCCTCAGCCGCTTCCCTGCCTCTGCTGGCTGCAGTCTCAGGGTGACAGCACCAAGTGCTGGATGAGACTGTCTGGCTCCTCCACCTGCACATTCTCCCTGGTGGTAACCAAAGGGTAAGGATGAGGAGGTGGCATGCTGGGGGCTAGAACTGGAAAGCAGAGGCCCGGGGTCCTCAACCTGGGGTCTGTCTCACCCACTGTCACACAGACTCCCGCCCAGCCCCTCCACATGCTCAGCACCTGTGCATGGAGCTTAAAGTCTTCTTTGCATATGGGGCATGGCTGTGCGGAGTCTCCATGCAGAACGGATCTCTGCTTCACGCTGTCCCACTCGGCTGGTGATAGTGGCAGTGGGGGAGGTGCGAAAAGGCCCAGCTTCTGTGCTGTAGGGCAGATAGCAGCGTGAGTGGAATCGGGACTCATCTGTGACTTCAACGACACTCCCCACTACCAAGGGTTCAAGCAGTGCATGTATAGCTCCATATTGCTTCGTAATACACAGAACGCTATTTTCCCACAGAGATGTGGGAGTCGGTGATAACACCTTACACTTCAACACTGATTTATGATTTTATTGACAAACAACCCCCACATCTCATTTAACATTCACAGAAATTCTACAAGGTAAGCAGGACTGACGATTTTGTGGAAGGAAAAACTGAATGCTGGTTTTTCCAAACTTTCCTCATCCTTCCTTGCTCGATTTAACAATCAGCCTTAAGCACTTCCTTCCCAGACTTCATCCCGCTTCTGCCCCCAGCGACCTTTGTGAACTGCACAGCGATCGTCTGTCTTCCCTGCCACAAATGCCCTATGATGCGACATTTCTGTCAGGACACATTTCTCAGTTCAGCAGTAGCCCTATTCCCACCATGTGTTCACCCTGGGTCAGGCAGGGAGCTCCAGTGTCCCCAAGGGGAAAACTGGGAGAAGCTGTGACACACTGGGGGGAAACGCAGATAGGAGTTAAGTATCACCATCAGGTGTCCCTCTGCCCACCGAGCGGACATGCAATGGTCAGCGCAAAAATAGGTGTCAGCCCACCAGTGGATCTTCCGAGTCTAAAGAGGAACATCACACTGACAACTAGAAGAGGAAGCCCTGACAGAGGAGGAGGGAGTCATGGGCAGGTTCACGGCTGAGTGTGAGTGTCCACTGAAAAGCGACAGGAAAGGTTAACATTATCTCACAGGAAGTAGGCAAAAGGATGCAGCGGAAGACAGGCGGGGACGGGATTGGCCTAGACCTTCGGACACCTGAAACTCAGACACTGCAGAGTGACTACACACATCTGCAATCCCAGCACTCTGGGAGGCAGGGAGATCAAAAATGTAAGGTGAATCTGGGAAATTTGTCTCTTGTCTCTTGTCTCGTCTCTAAATAAAAATAAAAAGCTCTGAATTCAATCCCTAGGAACCTCCTCCCTTCCTCACAGTGAACGGAAAACAAAGAACAACACTTTGAAGAAAACCACCCCAAGGTTCCTTGACCACAGAGACATGGAGTGGAGCCTGAGGGTGCAGAGATCATCGCCAGGCAGAGATGTTTCCAGATGGAGGAACAGAAACAGGGACATGGTGCTGGAAGCCTGGTCTTCAGGTGGGGGCAAGGACCTGGCGGGCATGATGGTGGACATCACTCCCAGAGAGCCAGGATGTTTAGGACTCGCCGTATGACCGAGACTCCACCTTTGGCACCTGCTCCTCCTTGTTACCTAGACAGAGCCTCCTTGTCTGTGCCTGCACTAACCAGGCTGTGGGACTGTGCTAAGTGGTGACCGCTGTGCAATCCTGTGGCACAGCTTCAGTGACAGGAAGCTGGCTCCCTAGAGAAACAGCCATTCTAGGGCTGGGGCAGGAAACAGACCACATGCATGTCTGGGATCTTGTCACAGCAGAAAGAAAAAAATACAAAATACAAAAGAATAAAAAATACAAAAAAATACAAAATACAAAGAATAAGGGCCAAAGCAAAAGAGCCAGTGGTCAAGGATCCCAATAAGAAATAATAGTGACAGTATTAGATATAATCTGAAGGACAAAATTAGTGCCACCAATATCACTGGTACAGATGACTGGGTAAAGGAATCAATGCGAAGTGGAAACACCTGTCTTAGAGAAGAATTCCTTATAAAATACAGTGACAATTCAATTGTTGAACTTAATTTGTTCCAAATTTAACACCAACAAGATCGAGAACTAAATATATTTTTTCCATAAGAAATAATGAAAAACCAAAACATTAGTTCTGAAGCCCCAAAATTACACTTATAAATTATTTTTTCCAAGACTTCAATGAATTTCTCAGTGATGTGCTTCCTTAACTCTATCACGAGTCTCACGGTTTTCCTCTTAGCTTTACTGTCAATACCACTAACTTTCTTTGGAGCCATGGTTATGATGTTTTACGCAAATAAAGTGCCAAAAAAGAAAGCACAGTGATGAAGGTTTTAACACACTAATACGAGCACTCTACGTTGTCTGTGGGAGAGTGTCACCCAGAGACTGAAGCATCACCCGTTGCGTCTGCAGTGAGAGGCCATGTGTGACTTTCTCTCGACCCATTACAGACTTTTTTCAAGTCAGACTTTTGCTTTGATCATCGAGCAAAGTTATGAACACTGATCAGATTTTTTTGAACTTGTGGTTCAAGTAGTGGAAAGTTCAAGCTTGGAGCCTTTCAACAACCAAGGTATCAGTGTATGCAGTTTTCCCCTCTGGGAGTGAGCTCAGTCCCTGCTCTGCCCCAGCCTTGTGGCTGGATGTGGAGAGCCGCTCCCCAGAAAGAGCTGCTCCCCAGGAAGAGCTGCTCCCCAGGAAGAGCTGGCAAGGGAAGAATGTGGCTGGGCAGGTGCCCATTAGCCAGGGGTCATGGTTTGTGTCAGCAGGGGGAAGTCACCATGTACTCCACGGCACCTGAGATAAGACCTGAGATAAGCCCCATTTTCTCTCACCATGAGAGAAAAACAGACAACCACACTGAGGGACCGACTGCCTGGCCAGGAGTCCATGCCCAGGTCACAAGGAAACTGTTACGGTAGGCACTTGAGCTGGATCCTGGTGCATGATAGGCACTGGTGGGTGAGCAGATAAACCCAGTCCGGACTTCAGTCAGTGGAGGGGCCAGCGTGGGCTTCTCATTTTGCAAGACAGATCATGATAATATAAAATATAAAAATGTTAGTGCCAGGGAAGCCCACCGGGTACACAGCAAGCATGGACCACCTTTGCAGCTCTTCTATCAATCTAAACTGCTTCTGAAATAAACATCCTATTTTAAAATAGCAATAAAAACTCCATAACTTTAAAGCCAAGTCCCAAACAATAACTGTGCCTAAAAATTCAGGAACAAATTGAGTTTCCTTATCAGAAATGTCAGGGATCAGAAGCATTTTTAAAAAAAATTTTTTTTTTCTTTTTCTTTTTTATTGATACTGGGGATTGAACTCGCGACTGCCTGCTTGCAAGGCAGGCACTTATGCCGCTGAGCTAAATCCCCAGCCCCAATCAAAAGCATTTTTTAAAAAATTTTATTTTGTAATATTTGCAAAGATTTTACTAGCTGACTATCCAAATTTAAAATCCAAAATCATATCATGTTGGTGCCCAAAATGTTTTGGATTTTGGGCTTTAGAATTACAGATGTGCAAGCCATGTGACCCAACAACTGAAGCTCAAAAAACAAAATGAAACAAAACCAAAAACCAAAAACCAAACCAAAACAAAACAAAGCCAAAAACAGCCGGGTGTGGTGGTGCATGCCTGTAATCCCAGCACTTGGGAGGCTGAGGCAGGAGGATTGTTGCAAGTTAGAGACCAGCCTGGACTACAAAGTGAGCCCAAGGCCAGCCTGAACTGCACAGCAAGATGAGACCTTGTTTCAAAAACAAAACAAACCCAAAAACAAAAACAAAAAGAGCCGAAAAGAAAATGAAGAGGTGTGGTCCACAAGCCAGGTGCTCAAAGCCTGAGAATGTGCTGGGAGCAGTTTAGAGAAAGGACGCACTGCTTGGACTGCAAGTGCCAGGAGTCAAAGCTGGGAAGCAAGTGGCCTGAGCGGTTAACTGGAGAAACCAGGATAAAGAAATATTAAAGAACAAAAGGAAACGAGGGAGGAGGGCAAGGGGGAGAGAGGGTGGAAATGCAAAGAAAACAGAAGCTGAAAAGAAACCCAAACCCCAATACTAGGTATGAACTCAGCTTAATTTTTCTCAAAAGAGACACTGCTGACAAAACCAGACAAGCCTAAGAGAAAGGAAGGCAGGCACTAAATAGAAGGGGGTTAGGGATGTAGCTCAGCGGCAGAGTGTGGCCGGCACGGAATTTAAAGGTTTATTAATACCAGACCATGCCCTGGCCACCCTGAATCGTCACTGTGAAAGTTTCAGGCTTCACAGAGCAGAGCAACTCAGGGCAGGCAGAAGGAGCTACCTTCCCTTCTGCAGTGGGCACTGTGCGGGGCATACTGGCAGCCTCCATGCACACAGCCTGGTCCAGCATGACTTTCCCACCGCATCCTCATCACCGATGGTGGTTACTGTGCTGTTTGCCTGTCTACTGAGATTCACTTTAGAGTTTCCTTTCTCCATCTTTTATTTATCCAAGTTTTATTTCTACTAGTTATTTATCCTTATTCTCCTGTGTATGTGAGTGTACTAGGGATTGAATGCAGGGCCTCTGTACTGAGTTTAAGTTCTTTCTAAAAACTTTTCTGAGACAGAGATTGTTAAGTCACTCAATTGTCTTAGTTAGGTTCCATCTTGCAATCCTCCTGCCTCAGCCTCCCAGAGTGCTGGGATTCAGGAGGGTACTACCATGCCAAGCGTGTATCTTCATGTTCTTGCTCAATTTGTCCCTATCATTTTAAAGCTTCAGCACATGCGAATCTTTGTGGTAAGCAAATTAGTTGTGTACCTTAAATATTGTGCCATTAAACTCAATAGATTCATTAGTGATAATAAGCCCGCATCTTCAGGACTGGATTAGCTCACCTAAAGTTAACGGCGGTGGAGTGGGGTCAAGAACATACTCCTTTTCTGGATCTTCCACTCTGGAGCCCTCTGGAGTTTTTTTAAGCCCAGTATCTATCACTGCCTTAGCATCTCTTTTCAGAGACTTTGACCTGTTCTCCTTCTTTTGAATATTTGTCTTAAGCTGACCAGCTACAGAAAGATCTCCAAGCTGAAGATCGCGTAAAATGTGATCTTGTAAAGCAACTGCGGTGAGGACTAAGTTCTCCTTTGGAGATGGATGGTCCTAAAAAGCAGGAAAAGAAGTCTTTGTTACAGGGTCATTATGCAGCATACTACTTAGGAGAGAACAGGCTTTGGTAGTGGACTTGAGGGTCCATTTGACCAATCTGAAGGGTAAAGAAAACCCTTAGAGCACGGGTGCCTAAACCCCACATACCCCAGGCTCATCGCTTATGCTAACAACTCAGGAACATTTTTCATTTAATTACTAAAGCCTTAATTATAATATAAATAAAGGCATTGTGACTTATAAACCTGTGCATGCCTAAGCAGACTCACACTGTCTCACTATAATTAAATTAGACTCCAGTCCAATCTTAGAGAGCACTCAGCATCCAAGTTTATACTTTTTGTGAAAATGTAGCGCTTTTCCTAAGCAGAATGAAAGTCACAATCCAGGCAGAAGGTGCTCGCAGGCAGCACTGGCTCACCCACTTCCCACTGCCCCAGACCACATGCGTGGGGCCCACTCCTGCTCACACGCTAGCGGGGCAAGGTCCACACCTGACTCGTGCTCTCGAGAGTGTGAATCAAAAGTATGTTCCACTTATAAAACCGAGGAGGCTGTACCTTGTTTCTTAACATGCCAATGAGGAAGCGCTGTGGGGTGGCTGCGAGGAATCCTGTCACCACATCGCACACATTTCTCTCTCTGTCCTCCACTGCAAAAACACAAACCACCAAAAGTGTGTGCATAAGAATCTTTTATGAAGTTTATGAGGAAGATCCCTATGAAGGGTCCAATTGGTAGTGACACAAGACCAGTGCCTACTCAAGGTGGCACTGAGCTCACACCTGGATTCTGCAGGAAGGAAAGGACCTGAAACCAGTTATTACCTGACACTTCACCAGAATTGGAGGGAATACTTTAAACAAGAAAAATACTGACAAATATAACATTATACCTAAGTACAACTAAATAGGGGACCAAAAAGAACTGAGAATAGTTAATAAAAAAGCCTCTTAAAAATAACATTTATTTATTTATTTATTGGTGCTGGGGATGGAACTCATGACCTTGCACCTCCAGGCAAGTGCTTATGCCACTGAGCTAAATCCCCAGCCCTAAATATAACACTTAAACTGAGAATTGAAAAATAGCGGGAAATAAACACAGTGGTTTAGGGCCAAGGAATGCAGAGCACTTAGGAAACGAGCATGATATTTTTATTCCCAGGGAGAAAGGGAACCATGAAGAGACTGGAAGAGGAAGGCTGGCTAACTGCTCTATCTCAGACACAGCGGGACGGTACAGGGACAGATAAACTGTGGACCGACTTTGCTCTACCATTCTAGGAGCAAGATACTTAGCAGGTGCGCATCTGTTTCCTCACCTATAAAATAAGCATTACATCCAACTTCCCAGAGTTATTGTACAGGCTGCATAAGAAAAATCTTGTAAATGAGTAAAAGCAAAATTATGGCACAGAAGGTACCCTGTATGCAATCATCCTTGCTCTAGTTTTTTTCAAAGTTGGTGGAAGAATTTGGAATTTCCACTTCTGATTTTTGGACAAGGCTGTATTTTATGAAGGCGAGGTCCAAAATGTACTAGTACAGAGAACAACAAAGTTATTTATGCAATCCAGGAAATAGCACTGAGGGCCGGACTTTTAGAAAGAGCTGGATATGAAGAGCAGGTACAGTAGAGCACTTTGAAATCCTGACTACAGTCTGAGGCAAGACCAGGAAGTTTCAGCTCACTCTAGACAATTCAGGAAGATCCTGAAAGGGCTGGGAATGTAGCTCCGTCTAGCACGCTATAAGCCTTGGATTCAGTCTGCAATAGTACAGAATTGGACAACAAACAAATAAAAACTGGACGCTGGGCATGGTGTCACATGCCTGTAATTGAAGCATTCGGCTTGTAAATTCATGCCTAGCCTGAGAAAATTAGCAAGACCCTGCAGTCAAAAGTAAAAAGGGTCAGAGTGCTGCTTGGTGCAAAAGCCCTGGACTCAATTCTCAGGGTCTCACATGTGCGCGTGAACGCGCACACACAGGACTTTCATCAGGTACAGTGGCACACACCTGTAATCCCAGTTACTTAAAAATCTGAGGCAGGTTTGCAAGTTCTAAGTCAGCTTGGGCAATTTAGAACCTGTCTCAAAATAACAAACACAAAAGGGGGCTGGGGGGCTCAGTGCTATCTGGGCTTAATCCTTCACCCTCAATGCATGGGATGTGGCTGTGAGCAGAAAGGAAGCAGAGGACAGGGATGTGGCTTCGTGGGACAGTGCTTGCCTCCCATGTGCAACGCCCTGGGTTCAATTTCTAGCACTGAAAAAAAAAAAAAAACCCATACCGTATTTTTAAGGATAATCATCCGTACTGAATTATCCAATAAAGGAAATAGATTCCCTAAGTAGTGTAGAAAGAGAAAAGAGAACTAGTGCACATGTGAGAGACACCCTTGGTTTAGACTAAAAAGGCTGTGCTGCTCAAAAACCTTCAGAAACCAGAGGACAGATCGCTGTATTTCTCTCCTTGTTCTTTTCTAATTCTGTCATCAAGAGATGTACAATGCTATACAACATTCTGCTAAAGTAGTCTGCACTGGGGAAATGGTAATGTAATTACAGCACTGAAATATTTCCAGAATTTTCTATATTCACAATGCCTGCAACCTGCATTACATTACATTCTGCAGTCTGCTTTATACTAAAGACTGTTTAATGTTAGTAACATTTGTAATTATTAACCAGCTCCCTACAGATTACGATTTTATATCATTTCTATATCGTGAGCCACTGTCACGGTAAGAGTTTTTAAAAACAGACCCTTAAAAAGTCCTGTAGCTTCATTAAATTTTAGAATTTTGAATACTGCAAACTTAAAACATCAAATCCAACTCCAATTTCTAAACGAAACAGACACGGAGATTAGAGTTCAGTCTGCGGGAGTGTGAGGGGCAGAAACCGTCCTGGTTCAGCGTGCAGGGCATCGCCAGACAGGGAGCACACTGCTCCAGGAGCCTCAGAGCACACCCTGAAGACCGGGCTGGTCGGAAACAAGGTCGCTGTGATGCCCGGATGCTTAATGACCATCCTAAGTGGCAATAAACAGACGTACTAAATAACCGAAAGGGATAGCCATCACTGTAAACAGATGCAGACCTAACTTCTGAACCTTGCGCGTCCGGGGTTTGCGACTTCCACGAGCCGATCAGGACGCCCGACCTCGAGCGGCACTGACTGGTGCTCGACTTGGCCTCAGTACAGCTCACAAACTGCGCAAGTGACGCCCGACGCTCAGCCAAGTTAGCAGAGGTCGATTCGTCCCACCGGTTAGCGGTTGTCGTGGCAACCTCCGCGAGTACCGTCACTGCGCATGCTCAATTCTCCGCCCCGCGCATTGCACACTTTCCAGGCACCGCCCGCGCACGCTGCAGCGTGCATGCTCGCTGGCCCCGCCCCGCCCAGCGAGCCCTGCGGCTGTTCCAGACGCCAGCTGAGCGCGCATGCTCTTCATGCCTCTTCGCTAGCCCAGAGCGCGGCACTCGCGACCCAGACGTTCGTGCGCAATAGCGTCCCCGCGCACGCTGTGTACCCGCCCCGCGTCCTGGCGTCCTCGTGGGCTGAACGCTGGTGGCTAGCGGTGAGGGTCCCGGGCTCCGTGTCGGTGGCTTTGGCGCCGCTCGGTGTCCCCGCTCTTCGTGCTTGAGGGTTGTTTTGCCCCTCTAGCGTCCGGGCAGTTTCCGACGACGTGTCCTAGGCCTCAGTAGCCGTCCTGTGCCGTCGGCACCGTAGCGTGTCGCCCGGTGGCTTGGATAGGTCTCCGTGTCCGCGGCGCGCGTGAGACCTGCCGAGGAGCCGGCGGCCCGCTCGGAGTTTTCTTCCGTCCCTGGCTACCCATCTTGGTCCTCAGCACTACACCCCTGGACCGTTCAGGCCTTTTGCATGGATGCACTTTCCTCCCTGTCCTGCGCCTTTTCTGCCGGGAACCTTCAGTTGCATATGAGACGTTGCTGATTTTTTTATGTTCTTTTAAAGGATTTTGAGTTTGGTGCAGGGCTCTCCATTTACTAGAAGTGGCATGCCTTCCCGGGCTGGCCGTCCAGCTGCTTTGTCTCGAGAGGCAGGCAGAGCTGCTGGTGCTGGTGCGTGTGGAGTGCTGTCTCCTCTTTCAGCCTGTAGCCTGCCTCCTCTCAGTAGTCTTTGGCTTCTTGGTTGTGATGTGGAAACCCCTGGCTTGCCTTCTCCTTGCCATAGACCGAAGTCCTGTCCTGCTGCTTCTCCCTTAGCTGAAAACTGGGTTTACATATTCTGATTTTTGAGTTTTTGGAATCTGGTCTTAAATCTTCATCATGATTAGAGACAGAACTCGAGAGTTTTTTTTTTTTTTTTTCTGCCTCTTAAAACGATGGTATTGACCTTCAGCTTTAATTGGAATAAAATTGGAAAGTACAGGGAAAACATACGAATGAGAAGGTCTCTTTTTTTTTCTTCCCTGAAACATCTAATTAAAATTACCAACCTACAGTGGAGCTTGGTCATTGATCTTTAACAGTGAGACTTTGATATAAATTAGGAACACATATATTACACATGTATTAGTACATATTGCAGTACACAACACATTGCTTTTGAGAAGTTAGGACATGTACGTGTCTCGTTTTATTCCTCTATGCTCCTCCCTCATCTCTAGAGCCACTTACGATTTGTGAAAGGTCTATTTCCTTTACCTGTTTTATCATTTTTTAGAGAAACCATGCGACTTTTAAGCGGTGTCTAATTTACTTCTTTAAGTGTGTCCTCAAAGCCCATTTTCCTACAGATGACTTCAAATTTACAATTCTTGGTTATATAGTACTCTATTATGTATGTATACAATTTACCCATTCATCTGTTGGTGAACATACAGGTTACATCCAATATTTAGCTATTTTGTGTTGTGCTGGTGTAAATATGGGTGTGCATGGATCATCATAATAATACTGATGTCTTTAACTTGGGAGGGTATCCCAAAGGGAAGAGCTGAGTCACATGGATTTTGAATTTTTAATTTTTTTGAGAAATCTATATTGATTTTCATAGTGGTTATGCAAGTTTACACTCCTACCAACAGTGTAGAATGGTTCTTTTTTCCCCTGCAGTCTTCCAACTTTTTATTGCTTTTTTTCCTTATAGCCATTCTCTCTGCAGTAAAATGGAATCTGTTTTGTCTTAATTTGCATTTTTCTAATGACCAAAGATGTTAGATATTTTTCATGTTTCACTTGACCATTTGTATTTCTTCTGAGAAGTGTTGATTCATTTCAGTTTCCCATTTTTTGGATTGTGTCTTTTACTTTATGAGAGGGTCTTTTAAAAAAAATTCTTTATATATTCTGGATATTAGTCATGTGTCAAGGCTGGCTGGGCAAAAATATAACTATAGGATGTTGCTTCATTCTATTGGTGGTTCCTTTGCTATGAAGATTTTTAATTTGATAAAATCCAATTTGTTGATTTTTGGGGGGTTCTGCTCAAGAAGTCTTCACCTATACCAGTGGTAGTGAACCTTTTAGAACTTTCAGTGATACACAGCCAGCTGCAGTGTGTGTGCCAAATTCACCACCACTCACCTAAACCTGTCTTCAAGAGTTTTAGCTGTTGTATCTGAAGTGTCTCCATTAGTCTTTACATTTTAATTTTATTTTAGTATGTGGTGAGAGCTTTGGCTCTAGATTCAGTCCACATGTGAGTAACCAGTTTTCCCAGTGTTATTTGTTGGTTACCTTTTCTTCAGCACGTTTTTGTGGCCCCTCAGACATCTAATAATTTTGGTCAATTATTAGATGTCTGAGTGTGTTGGGTTGCTTTTGCCTTCTGCGTTCCGTGTCATTGATCCACATGTCTGTGTTTGTGTCAGTGCCATGATGTTTTTTTATCACTATAACTTTGTGATATAACTTGGAATTTGGGATTGTAATGCTTCCTTCTTATTGCTCTGGACTGATTTTGTTATTGTGAAGCTCTTCTCATTATGTAAATCTTGAAATTAAGTTTTTCTAGTTCTGCAAAGGATGTTGTTGGTATTTTGATTTGGATTGCATTAAATTTATGCCAGTGTTAGTAATATGACCGTTTTGACAATATTGTTTCTGGTTATCTAAGAACAGGGAATATCTTTTCTATTTTCTGGTGGCTTATTCAGTCTTCTCTTTCAAAGTACTAAAATTTTAATTGTGGAGATCTTTCACTTCCTTCGTTAAGTAAATACGTAGGTATTTACTTTTTGGAAGCCATTTTGTAGTATTTTATTTATTTATCAGTGTGTTCATTGTTGGTGAATAAGAATGCTGTTTATTTTGGTGTGTTAATTTTATGTCTTGATACCTGCAGAATTTATTAGTTGTAGGAGTCTTTAAGTGGGATTTTTTGTATCTTCCGTGTTCAAGTTTATGCTGTCTGTAAAGAATGATACAATGACTATTTCCTTCCCTATATGTGTCCCTTTTATTTCTTTTCTTGCTGATGGTGTTGGCTACAGTTTTGAGTACTGTAGGTCGTTGACTTACAAATGAGTTCCTTTCTGGAAGACTTGTTTGTAAGTCAGTCACTCGTAAGTGGACAATGTGAATTTTGTACAGTACATCTGTGAAAGTTTGCAACCCAAATGTTAATAAGTTGGGGATTGGGGCTGGGGATTTAGCTCAGCGGCGTAAATGCCTGTCTTGCAAGCTTGTGGTCCTGCATTTGATCCCTGGTACCGGTAAAAATGCAAAAAAAAAAAAAAAAGTTGTGGATTTACTGTACTGTATTGAACAAGCGTGAGAACGGACAAACTGTTTTTGTTCTTGATCACAGGGGCAAAGGTTTTAGTTTGTTCTCATTTAGGATGAGGTTAGCAAGCAGCTTGCCATAAATGGTTTTTATCAGATGGAGATAAGGTCCTTCTGTGTTGAGAACCAAAAATTCATAATGGCTAAGTTTGCATATTTCCCTATGGAATAAAAGGGAGGTTTGGGATTATTGGTTCCACCCATCTGAGATTTCCCATTGACTCTTCTAAGCATTAGATTATCTACGCCTTCTTGAGTCTTCCCAGGATTATACTGCAGGATAAGATCCTTGTTAGCATATGATCAGCTACACCTTCCTAAGTCTGCAGCCCCAACTATCACCGTATACACTGAATAAATAGTGGCTGCTTTGGGAGTGCAGGGAGTCCAGTTCAGAGATATTGACTTCCTAGCCATTGATGCAATATTATACTTGTCTCTGGGTTGTTTTTTTTTTTCCCTAGGTTACGTTGCCATGATGAGAGGGCCACTTTCACCAAGTTATATGTAGCTATCATTTTGGGGTGGAATTTTTTTCATCTTGGATTGTAGCTACATACAAACTTGACCTATTTTATCCCACTCTCGTATCAAGTGTGCCCACATTGGAAAAGGAAGAATAGAATTCAGGTATCTGACAGAGTAATCCAAAAATGTGTTTTGATGGGACTTTGATGTCTGCATCATTTAACAGCTTCATCATCAATCAGCTAAATTCTTTCTCTTCAGCAGATAAAGAATACGGTTGCCCCATAGTTACCTTTGATGAACAAACCTACAACAGATTGCTATTTGCAAATTGTCTGAGCTATATAATTAATAAAATATTCCACTTACCTTTAATTTGGTCATGCAAAATCCAGTGGATTGTCAGTGCCTTGATAGTGGTTGTTGTGGCTTGAAGGTCATGGGTTCTTGGTTGCACTGGCGTCAAATACGGGTAGCCTGGCCAAGAGTCCCAATTGTCTGTCTTAAGAATACAGTGAGAAAAATAAAAAACAAAGTATAGTATTGCATCAATGGCTGGGAAGTCAGTATCTCTGGATTGGACTCCCACTACTACCAAAGCAACCTCTATTTATTTGGTGTATACAGTGATAGTTGGGGCTGGTAAAGGATTATAATTCATCAGAAGACTCAAAGAGGGCGTAGGTGATCATATGCTAACAAGGATCTTATCCTGCAGTACAATCCTGGGATGACTCAAGAAGGCATAGATGATCTTATGCTTAGAAGAGTCAATGGGAAATCTCAGATGGGTGGAACCAATAATCCCAAACCTCCCTTTTATCCCATAGGGAAATACACAAAATTAGCCATTGTAAGTTTGCAGTCCCCAGCACTTCTATGCATATTGTCTTCAATGTTTTTATCATAAATGTGTATTGGATTTTGTCAAAGGCTTTTCTTGCATTGATTGAGATGATCACGTGGTTTTTGTCCTTGCTTCTGTTTATGCGAGTATTTACATTTATTGTTGAGCCATCCTTGTATCCTATGGATGAAGTCAGCTGGGTCATGATGTATGATCTTTTTTAGCCATTTGCTGTGTTGTCTTTGCTAGTATCTTCTTGGAGATTTTTACGTCCA